ATAATAATAATAATAATAATAATAATAATAATAATAATAATAATAATAACGACAATAACAATAATAACAATAGTGATAATAATAAATGATAACACTAATACTAGCAGTTTAAGTAAAAGCTGTAGGCATTGTGAGAAAAGTAATAAAGACGGTACACACCACGATAGCTGATGCGATCACGCGTTTTGCGTAGTTCTGCCAAACAGGCGTTTGCTGTTAATGCATCCTGTAGTCGCTTGGTATAGCTGAAAAGTTTTTCAGTAAAGTTATAAAATTTCCTCGAGAAAAAAATGAAATGCATTCTTTTGAAGCTTGAAGTTCAAGTGAAGGATTTCCGACACTCACTCTCGAAAGACGAATTAGGAAAGACTCAAATCGCCGATCTGAAGGATACATCCCGAATTGTGGCCACCGATATTGAAAATACCATAAAAGCTGCAGAAAGGTTTTAGTCTGCATAATTTCTGTTTAGTAGTCCGTTCACCGAGATTTCATGGATACTTAGCAGGAGCTGAAACTCATTCCCCCGATAGATTATATGGCTTTCCTTTACCAACAGTTAGCCATCAACAGTCTTGCCAGCTGGTGATTGCTGTTGCCACCTACTGCCCTCGGCATGCGCATTCGCCTCTCGTAGACGACGAACATTTTGACTTTTGATTGCCAGGCTATTTACTCGAAATCCTAACCTAACAGGGCGAGAATTCAGTGATTTTGGATTCAAATGAGGATCAGTCTGGGTAATACCTGCAGACTTAGGTTAAACGATACAAATCTCAACAACTACATTAGCTAACTTAGCTTTCGACAAAAGAACGCATCCTGTAGTGCTCTCCTTCTCCTCCACCTCGCCCCCTTTCCTTGCTCCCATTCCCTTCCCTGTCCGTCCCTTCGCACTTTTCAAACTTCCAAAGGATCTGGGTCGGAAATATTTTGAAATAATGTTTTTTCGAGGTATCAGTCGCAGTCGAAAAGCGTTCGAGATGAGATCAAGCGTTTAATGCACGATTTGCATTTTGAATGCGATCAACGCGCCAACTTACTGCGACAAGTGGAACTACAAGCAAAACAACTGAAAGTGTTCGAGAAGGTATTTGGAGAAACACTTCCATTTCAGACTTTTTGTTGAGTCAAAAGTCAAAACCTCCTCCATACTCACTTTTCATGGAAGTCAGGAGTAGGCCAGGTGGTGGCAAGTGCCAACAGCAACCACCCGCTTGCAAGACTCCTAACTTCTGAACAATGCTCTGCAGAAAGATAATGGCGAGTTTGTTTCCCTGGCAAGTGCTAGTACCAATTTACCATCGAAGCGAATGAACGAATCGTAAAGGAGCTAGCTCTCTTACTGGTGGAGCCCTTGAACCTGCTAACAGTGCTTTTTCCCACTGCCCACTCACAAAGACGCACTCGTGCTGCTTTTTTTGTAGAATTTTTAAATTTTAAACAATATGTGACTTTTATCGTAGGATGGTCAAAAAATTGATCTAGTCCTAAGCACAGCGGACTTTATTTGTTGAATTTACTTTTACTGTACGCTGAATTCTGTCTTTCTTAGTGTCTGAAATCCTTTTCCTTTTGAGTGGAGGAGGCATCAGACTAAAGTTCAATTGCTTCATCCGAATTTTACTTCTTCTGGGGAGGGCGAAATGAGTGCCTTGACTGCTGTGTTGAAAAGAAATGGGGTCTTACTCTTTTCAACATTTGTGCTCACTTGTTAGCATGATATTGCAAAGCTGTGTTAATTCTTAGTCAGTACGCCGGAAGCCGAATACGTCAACTGAAGAAGAACTTTCGAAACTCGATTCGGTTGAGGCAGTGGACGGCGACAGTGAAAGTGAAAAGGAAATGTATGACAGTTTACATATTTAAATTTTTTAAAGATTTAGGTAGTTCAAGTTAGTAATCTTACCTCAGCAAGTGGGATGCAGCTATGCTCGACCCTTCGATCCGGTGCTATAAACCTCCAGCCAAGTTCCTTCAAGTAGTATTAAGTGGAAGATTTCTTTTCCACTCGCTCATGCTACGTGCAGGTTAGCAGAAATGTTTTTTGAGAATGCTCCCCTTTTAGAAGCAAGAAGGCATCAAAAGCGTTGCGCCAAACACTTTTTTTCTTATTTGCCTGCCTTTTTGTCCGGAAAAGCTTCAAAATGTGTCCCGTTAAAAAACTTGGATTACATTCCTATTTCTGAGTCGTTTCTAGCTACAACTGCTTGCAGCGGTAGCGGTAATGTCTACAGTAGTAGCGAGGGAAGCTTGCCCGATACAGTGATGAGCGAGACAGGATACGAAGAAATTACCAATCATCAAGTATGTTTTATAGTTATTGCAACCCTCAGGCTACAAAATGTTAGTGATATTACTGAAATGTACCGCACGGCGGACGAAATTTTGCCAGGCCCTTTGATTCTGAACACTTTTCAATCAGAAATCAACCCAAACTGGAACGCACCGGGTGGGCCCGTGCAGTCATGCGTTTTTGCACCGATTTGAAGCACTCAGATCATTAACTGCATGAATGATTATTGCTTTGCACACGTATCTTTTGCGGTCACTAGCATAAATCACCATAAATCTTGCGTAAAATAAATGTACAGCTTTCATCTTTACGGCCGTTCTTTAAAAGTAACCTAGCTGTTCAGTGAGAAATTTCTCCGCCAAAACTTATAAGTGCCCGTACGTAAGAGGCACGCATACCTCAAGGCTGAATTTGAAATACTTAAGTTGTACTTGGACAGGGAACATCCCCTAAAAATTTCAGCCTTCCAGCTTTTCTGGTTACCGAGTTAGCAATTTTCCCGCCAAAACTTTCACACATCTGCACGTGAGTACTCCAAGTGCCTGGAAAACTGAAATTGGCATTTTTAAATTGCACGCAGACAGGGAATATCCCCCTAAAAATTTCGGCCTTCCAGCTTTTTTTGAGTTAGTGATTTTTCTGCAGAAACTTTCATATGTCTTTACGTGAGTTCACGCATAGCTTGGGGCTGAATCTGAAATATTCGACTTCTTGAATAGGGAACATTCCCTCGAAGTTTCAACTTTCTAGCTGTCCTGATACCCGAGTTAGCAATTTTTTCGCTGAAACTTTCATGCGGCCTTACTTGAGTACCACGGGGCTGGATTTAAAATCTTTAGCTAGTAGCTGCACAGGAAATATCCTTATAATGTTTCAGTTCCTTAGCTCGCGTGGTTCCCGAGATCGCTTTTCCGCCAAAAAATCTGCATGTTTTTTTAAAGCTTCCGTACGCGGCACCCGGGTGTCTGCCGGAGTGAAATTAAAACGGCAGGGTCGCGCACGGTATGGGCACATACTCCCAAAGTTTCATCCTTCTAGCTTTTCTGGTTCTCGAGTTGAAAGTGGATGACAAAAAGTGCGAACACACACACACACAGCCTCTTCCCAAATATGGATTTTTGCAATTTGTATATATGCAAAAACGCGCAAAAACTCTTTCCACGTTTGTTCTTAGTGAGGAAGCGAAGGCACTTGGGAAGTAACCTAAGAATGCCGGCAGTGACTACTCGCTGGCAGTGCCGTCGATG